CTAACCCGTGGTGAGTCGGGTCATTTAAATTTTTTCAGTTCGCTAATAAGTGAGTTAGGTTGAGTCGGGTTACCCATTTGAGAACTCTAATTTCTAGTGAGCTTAAAAGGTATGGGCATTAGATGTGAGCTAGATGTCATTAAGGTGCACTTGGGCCGCTGGGTGCAAGTTTTGTGATGATCGGATGAACTGCAACTTAAATTCCAAAGAGCTCTCAACTTTATTTTTGTTGAATAAAAAAACTTGCATTAGACAAAATATTGAGAATTATCATTCTAGTAATTGTTAGTTGAGCAACACAAAGTCTTGATGAGAAAGTTAGGTCATTTTAAGCTTTACTTTTGCTACTCCTTAGGTGAATGTAGGCTTTCGTTGGGCAAAAGTTTGAGAAAAATATTATATTTTAAATTGTTTTGTAACGAGTTATGAGTTTTTGTGCTTGTGGTTGTTGTAAATATAATGATTCTTATCAAATTGAGATGATGTTAGATGGTGTTGTAAAATAATAATAATTGCAAAATAAACGTTAGTTTATTTGATCAACAATTTTTATTTTCTCATTAAGGTTTATAAGTGTACATTTTTTTTCTCTCATTAAAGTTCATAAGTGCTGACGATTGATTTTTATTATTCATTATTGTGACAACAATTTTTGACCAAGTTTATGCTCTATAAATAGAGCATTTCCTACATTCCAAAAAACACACCATATCAAGCTTTTTATTCTCTTTTTAAAAGGAAATTTTTTTCCTCAAGTTATCTTCTTAGTTTTTCTTCCTTTCTTTCTTATCCTCTCTTCTCTTATTTCTTTAGAGTTCCTTACTAGTTTGAGATTCTCATAAATTTCTTATTCATCTTTATCTTCTTAGTTGTATCATGGGGGACATGCGTAATCCAGCGCGAATAAGTCCTTAAGGGATATTGTAATTACGGGTTCTTCATAACTGAATGTTTATGACATTATTAATGAATCAAGTTCTTCTGCTTATTGTTAACTCGATTATATATGACATACTACCATTATGACATGTGAATTCCTTATATGTTTTGAAATTACAACGACTATCACTAGTACAAAACCGCTTATAACGTCTGGTTTCAACATCCAACCATTGAATAACCAATGTTAAAATGACCCGGTACATTTTTTGTAAATAATGCAATTATAGACGTCATTTAAGTTACATTCGACGTCAATTTGTTATAAGAAGTCGTATAGTTCTGGAAGTTCCCGAGACCATTGATAACTTTCAAAATGTTTGCCGCAGGTGAAATATATAGTTCATGTATGACGTCGAATGCATGGAATAGAGGTAAACATGTTATAACGCGAGTAGTTAAGGTGAAGTAGTGAATCAATAAATTTTTGAGCCAGGGATTGAGCATTCATTTCAATTATCTTAAAGCGGCGCCACAGATCCTTTTTCTCTACTTAAACTTTTCTAGAACGAGTTAGATAGGGGCCATTACATGGTAATATTTTTTTATATTTTGATACAAAAATTGCATGTTATATTAAACACTTTAGGTATTTATTTTGTTTGTTTTGACGGCAAGATTAGTCATTTTCCTGGTCATCTTTTGCTTGGCTAGTGACCTCTGTTTTCTCTACCTCATCTCAGGCTGTCACACTTACTTATTGTATATATGCTGATGAACCACAACCCCTTTTGAAGGTTATTTTTTATTTCATTTTGAAGAACTTGTTGTTAAATTGTTTTGGGTTGTGTTGTTGTTTGATTAACTTTGTTTATTGTTTTTGTTTTGGTTAACTGTGTTTTGTTGTTTGTTTGTGTTGAACTTGTTGTTGTTGGGGTTTTGTTGAGCTTTGTTTTTGTTTGTTGTTTTGGTTTGTTGCTGATACTATATTGCACATCTCTAGTTTTCCATACTTTTTTATAAATACCAAAACTAAATTTTGTTATTTTTCTCTCTTTTTTCCAAGTCCTTTTTTTAATAGAGTTGTAAAAAAGTGATCACAATTTGATTTAAAAAAAAAAAGTTTGATTAATGTCTTTTATATTAACAAAATATCAACGTTAATTAATGTAACGTCGATTTTTTATAAAAAATTCAAAGAACAAGCAAATTCAAAAAAACAAATTAAATTTAACGTTCTCTTAATATGCGTGCAGCCCTTGAATTCCGACGTAACAAAAGCCAAAAAAACATCCGCGACGTATCAATTACGGAGTGGATGTTTTGGGACTAGTGAAGATTAATTAATATTGCATGATAAATAGAGCAATAAGTAGACAAGAAGATATATATTAATAATTCTAATTAGGAATATTGATATGTAAGTGCAAAAGATACTAAGAGGTTCAACAGCTTTTTATGCCTAAATGAACTATTGTGGATTTTTCGTTGTACTAGAAAGGTACAAGTAATGCCTAAACTTGATATCTAATTTAGATGAGACAAAATTCAACTAGTGTTTATGTATTAACACTTGGGGGTGGTCAATTACATGGAGAGCAGCCAAACAAAAAATTATTACATTATATGAAGTCAGAATGAAATCTATCATATCCTCTAACAAAACCCCTAGAAAGACAAATGATATTAGAAACATCAAGGGAAATGAGACTTAAGTCACTTGGAAACAAAAAAAGTGACGAACCTTTATGATTTGAGATTCCATGATAAGGTTCATATGGGTAAAAACATGTCACTCGTTAGTTCTGATAGCACTGAAATTGATTTTATAAAACAAAAATCAAATTATGTCCAGTCCTATGGATGTGGGGGGGGTGTGAAGGAATGGCAGGGTGAATGAAGGTGGGGGGGGGGTGGGGGTGAAGTGGGGGGGTGAAAGGGGGGGGGGGGGGGGGGTTTGAGGGGGGTGGGTGCAAGTGGGACAGGTGACAGTGGTGGGGGGGTGAGGGTGAAGGGTGGGGTGGTGGGGGTTGGAAGGGCAGGGGTGGGGGGTGGGCAACGGGTTTGGTGCAGTGGGGGGGGTGATGCTTGGTGTGGAAAGGGTGGTGGAATGGAAGTGTGAAGGGTGAGGGGTGAGGGTGGTGGGGTGATGAGGGGTGAAATGGGAATGGGGGGTGATGGGGGAATGGGGGGGGGTTTGGGGGGGGGGGTTGATGACGGGTGCAGTGGAGGGTGAATGGGGTGCGGTGGAATGAATACGGGTGGTGGTTGGTGGCTGAGCAGGGTTGAATAGTCTTGCGGGGGGGGTGGTGACTGATGAGGGTGCAGGGGTTTGACGGGTGGGGGGGTGGAAAGTGAATGGTGGATAGTTGGTGGTGAGTGGTGGGTGTGAAGGGGGGGAAAGGGGTGAGGTGAGGTTGGGGGTGAATTGTGGGGGGGGGGGTGGGGCGGGTGAGTGTGGTGAGGTGCATGGGGTGGGGGTCGGGGGGGGTGGAAGGGGGGGTGAACGGTGAAACTAAGTTGAAAGCGGAGGGGGTGAGAGGGGTATGGGGTGGCAGACAGCAGGGAGTGGAAGAAAGGGGGTGCGTCGGAAAGGGTTTTGAAAACTGACATTCTATGAGACATAGGGTGATAAGTCGGAACGGGAGGGGGTGAATGAAAAGGGGGGACGGGAGCGAGTTGGGGGGGGGGGGGGGAAAAAAGGAGCGGGGGGGGGTTGATGAATGAAGGGGGGGTGGGTGGGGTGGGAAGTTGCATGAAAGGGGGGGGTGGTGGGGGGGGGGTGAGTTGAAGGGGGTGAAGTTGTATGAATGAATTGGAGTGAAAGGTGAAGGGGGGGGGTGAAGGGGGGGGGTGAAGGGGGGGTGATAGACGTGAAGTGAGTGAATGGGGTTGAGTTGAAGGGTGAGTGAATGAACGGGGGGGTGAGGGGGGTGGGGAATGAAGTGGGGGGGGGGTGATGAATTGGGGTGACGTGAATTGAACGGTGAAGAATGAATAGTAGGGTGTGAGGGGGGGGGGGGGTGATTGAAGGTGATGGGGGTGGTGGTTGATGGGGGGTTGAGGGGGGTGATGAAGGTGGGGGGGTGATGATTGAAGGGGTGGGAAAGGTGGGGGGTGGATGGAAATGATGAATCCAAGTGAAGGTGGTGTGGGGTGGGTGGTGGGTGAGGGGGGGGGTGGGTAAGGCGAATGGTGAATGATGGAAAGGATTGAAGGTTGAATGATGTGGGTGAATGGAAGTGGTGGGGGGGGGTGGTGGGGGGTGAACAGAAAGGGGGGTGAAAGTTGAAGTGGGTGGGTGAGGGGTGAGGGGGAGTGACAGGGGTGGGGGTGAGGGGGGGGGGGGGGTGAAGGGGGGGGGGTGAGGTGTTGGGGTGAAGATGAAATGGGGAATGTGAAGAAGAAGTGAGAGGGGGGGGGGTGAAGGGTACGAAGTGATGAAGGGTGAAAAGTTGAGGTGGGAAGGTACTGGGGGGTGGAGGGGGGGGGGTGAAAAGGGGGTGTGGAATTTGAACGTGAATGGGGGGGGGGGTTGGGGGGGGTGGAAGTGAATGAAAGGGTGAAGGGGGGTGGGGGTGAGGTTGAATGAGGGGTAGTGAGGTGTTGATGGATGCGAGGTGAAAAGGTGAAAAGTATGAATTGGGGGGGGTGGAAAAGGTGGAAGAAAGGGGGGGGTGGGAAGGTTTGTTTTGATGAAAGGGGTGAATGAATGAAGTGGGTGATGAGGGGTGAAGAAGGTTGATTGAAGGGTTGTGTGAAGGGGGGGGGTGAAGGGGGGGGGGGGGGGGGGTGTTGAAGGTGAGTGGACTTGAAATGGGGGGGGGTGAGGGGGGGGGGGGGGGGGGTGAAGGTGGGGGGGTGGGGTGAATGACAGTGGGGGTGATGGAATGAGGGTAAGGTGAAAGGCGGGGGGTGAATGAATGAAAGGTGGTGAATGGGGGGGGGCGTGGAAGGGGGGGGTGGGTGTGAGGGTTGGGTGAAGTTGAAAGTGAATGAAGGGGGGGGGGTGGGGGGGTGGGGGGTGGATGGTGAGGAAGGGTGAATGAATTGGTGGGTGGGGGGGGTGTGTTGGTGTGAAGATGGTTGAAGGGGGGGTGGAGGGGGGGGGGGGGGGGTTGGGGGGGTTGAGGGTGATGAGAGGGGGTGGGTGAATGTGGGGGTGGGGGGGTGGATGAAGGGGGGGGGGGTGAAGGGTGAATGAGGGGGGGGGTGTTGTGAATGAGGGGGGGGGGGGGTGAAAGGTGTGGGTGAGGGGGGGTGAATGAAAGGGGGTGAGGTGTGAATGAGTGAGGTGGTGTGAGTGGGGTGGTGGTGAAAGGGGGGTTGAAAGTTGGTGGGGGGTGAATGAATGAGGGTTGGGGGTGATGAAGGTTTGGTGGGTTGAATGAAGGGGTTGAGGGGGGGTGGGGGGTGAATGAATTGAAAGTTTGGGGGTGGAAGGGTTGAGGTGATGTGAGGGGTTGGGTGATGAATGATGGGGGGGGGGTGTGTGAAGTGATGGGCGGGTGGTGAAGGGGGGGGGGGGTGGGGTGAATGGAAGGGTGGGGGGGTGGGTGAAGTGGGGGGTGTTGAGTAAGTTGAAATGATGAGGTGAATGTGAGGGTGGATGGGGGTGGGGGGTGAATGAAGGGGGGGGGGGGGGGTGTGGGGGGTGAGGGTGAAGGGGGGGGGGTGGGGGGTGAAAGGGGGGGGGGTGTGGGGGGTGAACTGGTGAATGCGGGGTGGTGAAGGGTGGTGATGGATGAGTGAAGTGAATTGAAGTGAAGGGGGAGGGGGGGGTGAAGGGGTTGAAGTGAAGTGGGGGTCGAGGGAATTGAAGTGGGGGTGAGTTGAAAGGGGGGGGGGTTGATGAAGGGTGAAGTGGGTGAAAGTAATGTGATGGGGGGGGGGGGGGGGGGGTGAGGTGAAGTGGGTGTTTGGTGGGGGGGGGTGAAAGTTGAATGAAGGGGGTGAACTGATTGGGGGTTGTGAGGGGGGGGTGAATGTGAATGAGGGGGGGGGGGGTTGTTGAGTTGGGTGGTTGGGTGAGTGGAGGTGGGAAGGGGGGGGGGGTTGAAGGTGGGGGGTGGGGGGGGGTGGGGGTGGGGGGTGAGGTGATCGGGGTTTGGTGAGGTGAAATGAATGGAGGGTGGTGAAGGGTTGGGGGGGGGGGGTTTGAAGGGGGGGTGAAGTGAGGGGGGGAAGGGTGAGGTTTGAGAAGGGTGAATGAAATGTGAATGGAATGGGGGGGGGGTGAGGGGGTGAAAGAGGGGGTGAGGGGGGGGGGTGAGGGGGATGGAAGAAGGGGTGAAATGAATTGATGATGATGGGGTGTGAGGGGGTGAAGGGGGTGTGCGGGGGGGGTGAGGGGTGGGGGGGGGGTGGAACGAAGGGGGGTTGATGAAGGGGTGAGAATGGAAAGAGTACTGAAGTGATGGGTGAATGAAGGTGGGGGTGAATGATGAACTTGTGAATGGAAGGGGGGTGATGAATGGAATGGGGTGAATGAGTGTGAGGTTGAAAGTAGGGTGAGGGGGGTGGGAGGGGGGGGGGGTAAGTTGTGAATGGTGAAAACTGTGAAATAAAGTGAAGGGTGGGGTGATGGTGGGGTTGGGTGAATGAACGGGTGAGGGGGTGTGGGGGTGGGGAAGTTGAAAAAATGAAGTGGAGTGGGGTGAATGAGGAGTTGGGTTGGGGGGGGGGTGTGATGGGGTGAAGGGTTGTGGAAAATGAGGGGGGGGGGTTTGGGAAGGGGGGGGGGGGTGTGGGGTGGAATGATGAGGGGGGGGGGGGTTGAATGAACGGTGAATTGAGGGGGTGGTTGGTGAGGAAGGTGAAGGGGTGAAGGGGGGGTGAAAGTGAGGTTGAGGGTTTGAAGGGGGGGGGGGGGGGGGAATGAAGGGGGGAATGATGAGGAAGGGGGGGTGAGGGTGAAGGTGAAGGAAAGACGGGGTGAAGGTTGACGTGAAAGGTTTGAATGAAGTTATAGAAAATGTATATGAAGGTTAAATTGATATGAACTATTTTAAATCAAGGATTAACGTCTATTTCACTTTCTATTTTTGTCATTTTTATTCAAAGTGGACCTCGATTTTTTTCGGTGTTCAAAGTAGTAATTTTTTTTTGTAAATTTTATTCAATTTGGTTCTTTTCTCTGACAGCTTCTAAATCATTAAGGGCATAGTGTCTACGTAAGAAAAAACTAAATGAGTTGTCACATAGTAGAGCTCGCGGTGGTTGACTTGCGATTCAGTGCAATGGAAGCTGCATTGTTGATTTTAATTCTGGGTGCACGATTTGGGTTTTCTGAGGTAGGATTCTGGTTTTGGTTTTCTTTGTAGGTTTAGGCGAAGATGATGGTGCAAAGAAGGAGAAGGCAAAGGAGATGTGAATTGATTGCACAGACATTGCTGATGATTCAGAGGACTGTGATGGGAGTATCTTGTGTTTTGGCGTTGAGGTTCGTGAGATAAAGGCTGATGGAGAAAGGCAACTAGGTCACTGGGTGCTTCCGTGACTGATTTATGATTCTTTGATGTTAAAGGTTGGGTACAAATGAAGGAGATTTCGCGTGGTGTGGTTAGCATGGAGGAAAATCGTGAATCTCGATGATTTTTTTTTTGTTAAGGTTTTGCGTTTTCTGGTCTCTGGTGACAGGGTTGATGCACGAGGAGATGCCGAGGGAGAAGATGCGTGATGGAGGGGGGTTTCGTTATTGCGGTGGAGAAAGCGAGCTAGGATTTCATATGGGTGCTTCCATGATTGCGTTTCTGATTCTTTGATGTTGTAGGTTAGATGCAAAGATGAAGGAGATTTAGGATGTTGTGGTTAGCATGGAGGAGACTCGAAGGTCTGGATGTATGAGTGGGATTTTTTACGTTTCTGATGCCAAAGGATAAGGTTTAGGGTAGAGTGAGTTATATGAAATTCCTCACGTGCATTCTAGAACTTAGAAATGGAAAAACATAATACTTAATTCTAGAATCTTAAAAGCGAATACATAATACTTAAAAAAATAAAATATGATAATAAATCATATTAAAATCTGGTTATAACACAAAAAACAAATATAAACAATTAACTTTTTTATATTTCTAAAATATAATTACTATACTTAAGGCTTATGAAATAAAAAATAATAATATTATATTATAAAACTAATATTTCATCTCAAGTCACTACAAAAATTTGAAATGGGTAAACTACTTTCTCTGTAATTATGTCGTATGAATGGAGATATCTGCCAACAAGATATTGGGTTCTAGCTCACATGAAAATAAGAAAAACAATAATAATTAAAAAGGACTAGACATATTATAATATATATAGAGTATATATATATATATTGTCGAAAGATTGGAAAAGGAAAACAAAAAAATGAGCTAAAGAAACTTTGAGATTCTAAAATAAGTTTTGTTACAGGAAGGAAAAATGACATTTTGTGATCTCCATATGAAATTATAGTGTACGGTCGTAACTTTAGTATATAATTTGCTTAAATATAAAGATTATAATTCTAATCATTTAAAACTTTAGCTAAATCAATAATGAAATAAAATAATAGCTTGAAACATTTGAACTTTAAAAGTAACAGTAGTATTTTACTTTCTAAATATTTCCAGTACTAGTTCTTTTATGTTTAGGCCTCGTGACAACTGTACTGTTATAATCTGTTAGTCTGTTATAGCTTATTAAACTCCTATAGAGTTAGCAAATATATACAACTGCTCCACAATTGTAAGTTGGCTAACATTGTACCTGAGAATACAAAAATCGTCTCTTATTCTCTAGAAAATAACAAATTAAATGCCAAAAAACAATGACTATTTTGTTTAACGAATATATTCAGAAAGATTTTCTTGAAAATCCAA